AGTGATCTAAATACAGCTGTTTGAAGAATGATTAATTCGCACCGAAGAAAGAGTCCGTGCCAGGCTTTGTGCTTTTGTCTCAAGATTCCAGAGATTTGAATCCTTATCTTATCAAAAATTTTTCGACCAGGTCATAGTACTGCTAAATTTTTGAAAATTTTATCTTGAATTGATGTTTCTAATAATTTTTTCAAAACTCTCTTAAAAGACGATAAAATTAATTAGGCAAGAACCTACTCAACCTTCTTCAACATAACCAATTTAGAAACTTTGAAAATAAGTTTCCCATCTCCGGAGAACCTCGGCAGATCGAAGAAAGACTGATGAAAGTAAGCAAAAAATTTAGTCTTTCCTACGCATTTTATACCAATTTCTTACCGAGAAGAAAAATAAACACTTATTACTTATTAGTTTATATTCTCACGTAAAATGATACAAAAAGAGTTGTAAAAGACAAAGGAGTAAAGAAACAAAGAAAAGAACGATGACGTTAAATTTTTTTTTATTTATTTATCATGATGTACACTGATGGACACTCARCAATAAGCTATCAAAACAGGAACAAGATAAAGACAATAAAGAGTAATTAAAATGAGCTAAAACAATAGAAAAATAACAATAATTCGTGAAACAATAAAATTGATGAACAAATAAAATTCCATGATTATTATAAATCATTTTAGGTTAACGTGCTTAAAAGTGTCTTATCTCGTATCACAGTTTTGCAAAACTTGTGAAAATTACTGCACATTTTGCATTTCCATAAATTTATTGGAGATCATCAGTTCTCGCATTTTTTTCGCATTTGATAAAAGTTCCCAGAAGTCCGTTTATAGGAGCAAAACATCAGCATTTTCCCCCTATTATCAGAATGATCAACCTCATGCAATATTAAAAGCCGATAAGAGATAACGGCTCATTAACCACTCGAACGATTTTAATTACAAGTGAGGATCAGTCCTCAGGCTCTACGTTCTTCCACGTCTGCTAAAACGTTAGATTGTTATTCCTCGCGATGCCTTTAGAAACTGAATTTCAATTCGACACACTTATGAAATTCCGTGCATAATTGGCAAGGTGACGGGCTCTATAACGCGTTCTCTAATAAAATATTACTTTCATCTGCAAGAATCGCTTGTCGAAACTCCAAAGTGCATTATATCCATTGGGCAACACGTTGCGAAACGACCCATTTCAATGGTCAATTATGCAAAACGCGCGCATTTTTATAGGTTGGCCTATAAACCGAGAGAATCCGTTGCGAAGTCGACATAGGTTTGCTAATTAGGTAATTGCAATTATCGGGATTATGGACCAGAACGGGGCGCTTTTTCGGTGCTTTGTTACCAAATCTATCGGCTTTCTTGACAAGAATTCGCATCACACTCCACTGACCGGACACAAAAAACGTAAATTCAATTCCGGGTCTATTTCACTTTCACTAAACATGAAAAACAGATTTTCCAAATTCGACGATGTTATACTGTGTGACATAGAAAATGTAACACCTTACATAAGAACTTTGATTTAATTCTTAAATACAAAACTTTGAATGTTTTTAATTTTTCAACAATTAAATAAAAAAATGGGGTGGTCAATGTGTGTATTTTTTTCAGTGCTATAAGCTGACGTTTGCATATCCAACGTCGCTCATCACTTTAGTCTGTCCTCAAAACACGTATAAATGAATGAAACTTTCACCGGCCATCGTTGCAAGAGATAGCCGGTTTCGTAATAGAAAATTTCAAAAGAATTTTCGCAAATTTTATAACCTTTTCACCTTTAATTTGAATACAATCAGGGTTAAAAACACGAATCGTGGTTGTCACCAATCAAAACAATAATTTCCGCTTGTGGAAGATTTGTGGTTGGCCATTGACAGAAAAGATAACACATGTTGTGTACAATAGATAAAAGAAAAATAAAAGAATTGTTGTGAATTTTTAGGTGTCCAAGGACGCGTCATTCTAATAAACAAAACGCAAAGGAAAAATTCAAAACAAATCTAATAAATAAATTATGGGAGATTACAGAACTTGTTTAATAAGATACAGCTAAATACACATAAAAACAAAAGATAATTAATCAGATTATGGCAAAACATTAAAAAATAATAAACAGAAGCAAAGCAGAAATTCCAAGATAAATATCGAACAGATGTTATAACAGCTTGTAAATAGTATTGACGTTTATTTTTTGACTGATTTGAAATAAAATAGGAGAGTATGGGGACGTCCTCTAAATTGGTAATTTATGGATTTACCTTACGGGAGCTAGGACAAGGTTGTGGTATGACAAAGATTGTTTATCTTTTCTAGGATGGCCTGAAACAATGTATGTCGTCACTTAACAAATAAATAGATAAAATGTTAACGTAGCTTAACCTAGAACTAAATCGTAACATTTCTAAAGAATTTCGCCTGAACTTTATGTAATTTTATAATTTATATCCGAACACATTTTTACAAGATCTAAATATCCATTTAGATATTTTTCTCCTGGTAATAAATTTCAATTATCTCGAGTTAACAAAGCATCGACTTTAATTTCAGAATAACTTGTCCACCAACACGATCTGTATCGGTTTTGAAACGTTCCAAATGTCATCGAATGTTTCCACAAGTACGTAAAAATCTCCCTTGCAAAACGAGTTCTTTTAACACTTTCGTTTTTTTTCGCTCATGTAACCCTGAAGAGGTATACTCTCACCATTAAAAATGTGCATGATCTTTGCCGAATTTGCAATGACAACGGTAAGGTCGAACACAAGGACAGTGCGTACATACATAATAGATAACAACATCCTGGTCCACCCATTAAAATTGGGCCCACACGTGGCACGGGTTCGCGACCCATTTATTAGTGAAATAATATTATTGGAAGCATAGCAAATGGGAATAAGCAATTGCTGAATTTTGCTTAATCACGCCAAAAACCGGCCCTAGATATGCTACTTGCAGATTCATTAATTAACCTTGGATTTTATGTCGCTTATATGTCAAAAACAAAATATAAAAGAATATAAAGAGAGATTGGAAAATAAATTAAAAAGAAAAGTTTATAAAATATTTCTCTATTTAGTTTTTTCCTAAAAAAACACACTTTAACTTCGAAGACTGAAAAGTTGGGAATCTTTACAATATGGATTTTCTTTAAAATTGTTAAGATTTTAAAATGTAGATGAAAAACTAGTGTTTTTGTAAAACCTGAGTGATTTTCTGTCCGCTTGAGTAGCTCTTATGTTCACTGAAAACAAGACCAGCGAGTGATTCGCAGAAATTGGTATAACTTGGTGTTTTATACATATTTTAGTGATACCTAAATTATAAACTACCTCAAATTTTCTTGACATATTCTTGATGTTCTCATGTTCCATTAAAGCCAACAGTTATTAAAACTATGCGAAAGTTTGAACTGTGGGTGTTAAAAATTAAATAGCGCTTTTATGAATTTGTTTCACAGCTTCCACAGCTTTTACACGTTTTTAAAACCTCTCTGTATACAGGCTGTGCCAGAACTAGCGCCCCAGAGAAAAATGCCATGTAAGGTACCTTAGGATATACCAGGAACATGGAAAAAATGTTAAAAAAATCCTATCTATAAAAATTTCGAAGTTATTAGAGTTTAAATTTTGCACTTTGACTCTATTTATTTCTGTTAAAAAAATAATTTTCCATTTTTTTTTGCTACACGCTAAATTGTAACTCTGTTTAATGTTATTTGTGGCTTTTATTGGCAAAATTTTTGTACCTTTACTAAATAATAGACATATAAAATATCAAATGTAAAAAAATAAATGTCAAAATTTTGTGACAGATATAATTTTTTAATGAAACTACTCTTTGGGGCGCGAGTTCAGACACACCCTGTATTTTAGTTCTATTTTTTAAAACAATTAACCATCACACAGTGAAAAAATTTATAATTAGAGTAGACCATGATTTCTATAATGAAGTTGGTGACATTGAAGAGTAGTTTAAAAATGTCACTTACCGGTTTTACGTTGGAGACGAAATTAAGATAACTTGAAAATCTAGATGCAAATTTCGTGATTTTGAAGAAAAAAATAAGTTTTTGTTTTGCTGAACATTGATGGCAAAGATTTATTATTATTGTGTTGTCACTGCTGTTTCAATAAAATCTTAAAATGCGAATAACATCACAAATCGAAAAAATATGGTTCTGGATCACGACCCATTTATGAAAATAACTACGCCCAACTTTGCTCTTATAAATAATGCAAAATTTTTAGGTCAGACGACGGCCCCAAATCATACTTTGTGTTCGTAATAAAGTCTGTGAACAAAGTGTGACTTCCAGAAAACGCCAGGTGTGATTAGTGGAATACAATTAAATATTTCAGATTATCGAGCACCAAGAAAGAATTGCTAAAGTATTAATTACCCTTCCACCTGTTCATGGAAATCCGACGAAATGCTGCGAAGCAATTAAATTTATCTCGAGTGCTTCCATAATTAATGGTGCATGTAGTGATTGTTCGCATATGCAACAATAAAATAGCGATAAGAGGTCGTGACGTCACGCGCGCCGGCCGGCTTCCTCCACGTGCGGTAAAAATAATTCGAGCGACAGTTAGCGCAATGTAGCACAAGTGTGGAAAATGGTCGCTTTCAGTCCCGTTGGGCATTCCTTACCGTTATCCTCGGCTTTTCCACCCGTCCTTGCCGAAATTCGCCAAAGTACAGCACCGGAATTCATGCTAGAGCGAGACGCCGGATTAGAACGCTCGGACTTCGTGACCTTTCCCCCTCTCTCTGGTTAGCCAATCGGCGTATGTAGGTCACAGCGGTCGGCCAATGGCGAGGTGCACGCTTCGTCACGTGGTTTTGTTGTTATCATCAGCTGTGGCCGGGCCGCTATGTTCGTCCGGAGCCGATGCCACTCCTCCGGGTTCGGCTGCACTTTTCTGCCCCGGCAGTTAGAGCGGGATAGAGCAACAGACGTCGAGCTTTCGCGATCAGCTGTTGTTTTACGCTAGCCGGCCGGCTACGGCAGTCGGCATTCAACTGTTTACAGTGACGCTGCCTAGATCGCACCGTTTTATTATGAGTATGTGCATATACTGCGATTTTCCAGTGATTGAACGCAACGTTTCGGTTGAATGTTTTGATTATCATCAGGAATCTGTGCAACGGTTGCTCGTCAGGAGGTTGTACTTTAATGACGTGTGAAACTCCGGCTAGACTTTGAGCGATTTATCGAGTGATCGGTACTGAAGATGTCGACCGGAAAGAGATTAGCGAAACGTTCCATTATCGGAACACGAGTGTGCGCTCCGGGAGAGGACGGCAAATACTACTCCGGAGTGATCCAGGCAGTCAAAACTCCGGCCAACTTCCTTGAAAACAATAACTGTATCAACCTCACCCCCAATACCAGATATACAGTCCGTTTCGACTCCCGACAAGGTAATTTGGGTCGTACCACGGCCGAGTTCTTCGAAATGGATCTCATCGGTCCCGGATTCCAATCCGTGCTCGGTCTCAAACTCGTTCCGGAGCAGAAATGTTTCGTCACCTTCAACGGCAGGGAAGTTTCCGGTGAGGTCTGCAAACATTATTTCGAGCGCGACGAAGTGATCATCAGGATACATCCCCCCGGATCCGAAGTAAGTGCTTTGTTTTGAAACTGCGTAGATGGCTCGCTCGCTCCGGGAGTCAGCTGGATCCGGTCCGGTTTTTACATCTCACGATGCTTGGTCGGCTGTAATCCGTTCTCTGTTGAGATACAAGTGCGTAAGAGCGCATGCACGGAAATCCGCCCTCCGCGCCCTCCCCCGACATTAATAATTGCATCCTTGTGACGTCACTCGTATAAACAACGAGCTCACGGTCGATTTTTCGGGGAAAACAAGTAGAATTCGGGGCTTTCCCGGACACCGGAGCCGGTTTTTACAGGGACCGGGTTTTGCCCGCAGAACAATTTTGTTGTCGCAGGTTTAGAAAGTCAGCTTTTCACTAAATTGGAAGTGGATATGGCGTGAGCAGGAAATTAACGTGCAGACAATCTAATAACACTTTTCCCAAAGTTTGAAAACCGCTCACTTATCTCCCGATAATAAAAATAATTAAACAAAGAGTATAATATGTACTTATGTATCTAAACTATTCTATTTTGATAGCGAGGCAAGGTCGCGAGGCTAATTGACATTACCGTTGGCTTTTGATTTAATTATAATTTTTAATGCCTGCAGACATTTTTTACGCTGATTTGCTAAACTGCACTCTGTAAAAGTTATCAAATAAAATTTAAAAAATTATCAAGTCTAGACACAATTTTATTAATATTTATTATTTTGATTCGACTGAACATCCAACGATTGAACTAATTAAAAATTGACAAATCAAACCATATAATTCTTAAACGTACACAATGATTTTACCATACTTTCACTTTCTGTCAATGTTACATCACTTTAAAAATATCTTTTATCTTGAAATATTTCACTTTTGTCATACTTAATTAAACCGCGTTAAAATTTGCTAGTTTTTTATCGACAATTTGCTACAAGCGTTCTGAATCTTCCACTGTTACGTGTCAAACACGTTCTATAACGTTTACGGCTACGTTCTAGCGATTTCCATGCACTTAAATTGTATCACAATAAGTCGTAGACAAATGAAAGCAAATGTCAATACAATATATGTTCAATCAATGTATACATATAGAATTTTTCACGTAAAATCCGCATTAAATGCAAAGAAGACCTTTGCGTTTCAAGGATTTTCATGCATTCAAACATCCAAACTTCATGTCAAGTAGTGTGTTTTAGAGATGCATTTGTTGAGTAGCCTTAATTGGCATTTATTTTCACAGAATTTAAAAAGTTTTAGGAATGTGCAAAATCATTGTTCATCTGTTGTATAAGATCTATATAATGTTTTACGTTTAAAAACTGCAGCAAATATCAACATTATTCTGCATGATCAACCTTCGAGGGACACTATCTAATATAAACGTTCAGAGCGTTCAACTGTTACGTATCAAATGTATTTTGTTTAGTTAGTTGTCACGTTATAAACATTGCGGATCGAGATTCGTCGTTCTGTGTTTTGTCTTAATCAAAATAATGAAAACATGTCGATATACAAAAAAAATGTTCTGTATGTATTACTAGTTGTGTACCGGGAGATTTCAACACGTTCTATCGCCTATCAAGGGACTTCCTTTCCGTAAATTTTGGACAATAGAGACAGCATGAATAGAACTTCACACAGTGGAAGCAAATTCGCTATTTAAATTAGTTTAAAAAGAGAAGCGTTCTAAACGGTCAATTGTTGCGTCTCTCAAACAATAGTGCTACTGGAGCCGTTTCCTATATATAAAAACAAATAAAAGCAAAGAGAGTAATTATTTTTTATCACATTGTTATTATGATTACGTTGAGCACACATTACATAACTCGAATAGATGCGAAAATATTAATTAAGTTGTAAATCTCCTCTAACAGTAAATAAATGACACTAATGAGAGAGAAAACTAGTAAGAGACATGTTCATTATCACCGTAACCAAGTTAGCTAATTTTTCAATTTTTCCGAGTAGAAAGTCAAAAAAAAACGATTTTTGCAGAAAGTTGTATGATGGTGATTCGTGACGAAACTCGTCAATAATCTAGGCCGCGACATTGCCTTTTAAAATTCGCTTTTAATTGCTCGTCTTCCCATCGCAAGCAAACAATGGCCGCCTTCGATTTCCCTGCGTTGATGCAATAAGTTTGTGTTTGACCTCGCTGGGGGCGGCACACGTGCCCTAATCTAAAACGGGCCATCGAGTGGCCCAGAAACCCGGGAGCGGACGCGCGTTCGACCTCATTCTGGCATCGACCCGTGACCTACTTATTTGGGCATACACGTGCTGCAATGGCTGCATGATCATTCCGCCATATTTGTTTACCGCCGGCACACTGACACGGTTTCTAATTGGCAACAACACTACGGCATCTTGTTTATTATTATTATCGCGGTTGGCGTTGGCGAGATATATTCATCGTGCAATTCGAGTTACACAATCAAGGACGATGGGATAGTGAGAGTTGAGACAGTTCCGGGACGCGGGATTCAACGCGCCACTCCGGGACCTATCCTTATCAATTCGGGTGCTCTAGGCTCGCTAAGTTGGAGTCCCAGTCACCGGCCGCTCGGGTTCTCGCAATATTTTGTGAAAGTAAGAGGGAAAGTTGTGAAAGTCTGCCGTTTACATTTGCCTCTCTAAATCGCAACAAGTGAAATAATACGTAACCTAATTAGAAAAAAACTCGAGGGTTATGTAATGGTGTTTCCTCCCTACTTGTCGGGAACAGAAACGGTAAGGGTTTTTGGCCGGTAAAAAATAGCAAAACGCTGAAACATTGTTGTGAGAGAGAGAAAGGTATCACATAATCGACCTCAAGACAGGTTGCGGCTTGCGAAACGTTTCTCAATCATATCTGAAGTAAATACAACATTCACCGGCTGCGACAACCTAATTAAAAGTATGCCAAGCACTCGACTCGCGTTTGATTTAGAAACTGGAACTCGAAGCCGTTGCTTTTGCTTTTGGTTTTCTTTAAGGTCGCAACATTTGCGAAATCGCTTCCTCGTTGGCATTAAAAAAACCTTGTCCTTCGCAAAAGTGGGCTTTGGTGCCAAACATGGACTTAACAGTTATGCCTCGTTTTTCCCAATTAAGGTTTTGGCCTTCGTTGGTGGATTTTTCGCCACCTTGTCGATCGGATTTTGTCCGATTGAGTTTCCATAGAGCGGTAGGTCGCGGAAATCTAGTCTGCATGGCGACAAGTTCGACCTTTGCACGTGCTGATATGACGTTACGATGCGTTTGCATTTTTGTTGCAGGCGCCTTTCGAGGTCCAGAAACGCCTCGAGGAGGTCAGACTTTTGGAGTCGCGGAAGTCGGCCAGATTGGCCGATCAGGATACGGATTTCGCCAGGTTGGCAGACATGGCAGGGGATAGGAAGAGGACGGCGTCGCACACTATTGACGTCCCGGCGCCTTCCACCCATCTCGGGTATGTACACATAACCTTGACCATAATTGGACACATTTGCAATTTCGCAGAGCCTAAATGAAATTAATTTGAGCCGGACCAAACTCGGCACAGCCAGTGGCGCGCCAACCTGTTGATTTTATTCATAAATCCGGCTCAATTACTCCTATTGTTGCAATTTCAGGAAAGTAGCTAATGGAACTGCTAATTATTATTTTTACGAAAAATGTAAATAAAGTAAATAAATATGCTAAGAAAATAAGATAGTGTCAATTGCAGTGGAATTAAAAAAGAGTCGTCCCTATTAAAGAGTGGAAAATTCAATAAATCAGTGTTTGTGCAAATTGACGGGATATTTTGATTTGCAACTTACATTTACACAGTGTGTTTTTAGTTTTATTTATTGAACTTGAATTTGAGTTAAAGTACAGAAATTTCAAATTTCGAGCAGACAATATGGAGCTGTCGATTGACTTTATCTCGGCAAATTAAAAATTAAAAACCTTATCAGGTGAGTGCATATTCGAAAATAGACATATTTTTATGATTAGATGATTGTGTTCCCGTTTAAATGAACAAAGAATCTATTTTCTTTGTAAACAATTTTTCTTGATTGTTTCACGGAATCGTGTGACGCCACTGTTGGTTGACGTCACAAATTACTTGCCCAAATAAGTCTAAAATTTCCCTCAGTAATCTTATCTTCTGACATACCGGACATGACGTCACTCAATTTTCTCCCGATAGGGTTTTCGTAACCGCTTAACGACATGATTACATTATCATTTTTCGAATTTGTTTACTTGTGACCATATAATGGTAGTCATTAAATCTCCATTGGTAAAATCGTTTTAAATTGCATTTTAATTAGTTTTTTTGATAATTTGGTCTTCGCCCCCAGATCCCGTAAACGACGTCCCAGCAGCAGCCAAGATGACAATTACAAAGACACTCAAATGGATGAATGCAGCGCCGCTTTGGTCCTAATGAGCCTCTCGTGTTCGCCACATTCGCCAAACTTCCACGGTAATAATAGCAACTTTTAATTTCATCTATTCTTATCGTGCGACAGCAACGAAAGTGCTAAAAAAGTCGCACACCCAGATCAACTGCGTCCTAGTTACCTTCAGACGCCTTGCCAAGCACTAGGTGAATGGCAGACGCGTCATCTCTTACGAAATCGAATCGTGATAATGAATTTTTGGATCGCCAAATCCGATCGATTTTACCTGCAAGGTCAGACAATCTTATCAAAAATCCCTAGGGGAAAAAATTCGCATCTCCTTGCACTTGACGCATGCAAGGTAAAGTCCATGGTCACGCGATTGCATAAATGCATTTTTTGCATTTAAAGGGCACCACGTGCCACACCCACACGTGTCAATTTCATTGTTTGCAGGCTTTCCATGGCGGCTGAGCACCTCGCCGGACAGTAACATCAGCAGCAGTTCGGCCTCCTATCGGTCGACACCCTCGCCGCCGCCCAGGGCGTACTCCCCCCAATCAGCCCCCTTGTCGTCCAGCGCGGGTTCCGATGAGGGCATTGTCATGGACTACCAGGACGAACAGCCCAGAAAGAAAAAGGTACGGCCACTTTACGCTTCTAGTCCACCTCTCATTCGAAAACCTTGAACGCTATCTGCGGTGGCAAAGTATCGTAAAACAATAAAGGGATTTTTAAAAGCCGGCAAAACTAATAATTAACAATATAAAAATTTATATGTATTAGATACAATAAGAGAATTTTGAAAGAAAAAGAATAAGTCTTAAAAGTCATCTTGCTTTTCTAGACTTTTACGTTTTTATTTGTGAAATCACACCAAAGCAAACATTTTTTCTGTTTATACAGTCGACTCAATCTTTTGCCCCATGTAAATCTGGTTGAGATCAATATTTTTATTGTTAATTAGTCACTGATAACGGACTAATTTGGCAACAAATTAACCAAAAAAATTGGCAATTTCTTGTCTTATTTCTCAGATTTCTCATTAAAGTGGTCTATGACTTTCAAATTAATTTGAGTAATATTGAGTTTCAAACTTCACACTTTTATAATAAAATGCCATTCTTTTTCAAGGAGTTACCACTGACATAGCCGTCTTCAGAAACAACCTCCTATTAGAGGCTATAAAAATTGAAAAGTAGGTACATACTAATAATTGAGTGTTGCCAATAGATTTTTTGTCACAATTATCTCTACATTATTCAATTTTGCCAACTTAATTTCACAGAACGCAAATAATTTCTACTGGCCTTATTTACTTTATTATAAGGTTTGTGAACAGGTGTTTACTTTTTTTTAGAATTTAATTTTAATGCTGTGCTGTAATAGTTGCGACTGGTTTAGATAATTAGTTAATTATCTTTTGTCTATTTTATTAAGATTTCAACTTTCATAAAATAATTTTTTTCTTTTTTTTCTTGGATTATTTGGTAATTTGGTGAAAAGAGAATTTAAATTGTTATAAATTTTATAAAAAAAATTGCAAAAGCTTGTAGCGATTTTATATCACCAATAATAATTCATTGTTGCAACTTAATTTGAAAATTACAGGCYACTTTGATAGAAATTTAATTGAATGCATGGTACTTTGACTAGAATAAGAAAACGGTGAACAACACTGTAGATAAGAAAAAGAACATAGTAAAAATTCTGATGTTTTATTACGTAGATATCGCTTTCATTAGTTTTGGTCTCAATTTTTGATAAACAAATCGGGTAAGATATCTTTGTTGTTGAATTCTTACAAAAGCCTAAAGAATGTTTATTGTTGTGATAAAACTTTCCATTGGTGGAGAACTATAGGTCAGGTTCTAGAGCGGAATCCGCTTGTGTGGAATCCATGTCACGGCCGCCTTTGATGCAATTTGGTCATCATTTAGCCCACATGACATCATGCAATGTAGAGTAATTGTTCAAATCGTTCAATTTTCCGCTGTTTCGTCCCTCCTATCGCACTAATTCGTCTCAAGAAAGCGTAAAACTCTCAAGCGTCCATCTGTTGTCCGCCAGATTTCTAAATAATATCCTCAAACTAATAAACTTTTAAACTTCCTTCCGGTTGGGTGAAAGTGCTATAGAAGGTAAAAACAAATGAAGTGATGGAATGTCAACGAAGAACCTTAGCCGTCTTTGTTCTCCYGTAAAAATATATTACGTAATTGCATGACGGATAGGTTAGSTGCAGCCAAAGCCGGCCGGCGTAATGCGAGCCCTCGTCCACGCGCGTTATCTCAGCAAGGCCGAATCTATTTGCGCCGAGGCTACAGCGCCTTTATTGCGTCAAAATTCGCGAATTCGTAAACAATGTGCAATACCTTGTCGTAATGCGGCTTTCGCGGCGGTACACGTGTCGGCCTGCCAAGGACGCAATGGCCGCTGCAGTGGTGAAATTCGCTCGCGAAATGCCACGATTTATGCAAGCGACGCTTTTCACTCGTTTCGAAAATTTCCAATTCTTTCGCTTTCACTCCGGCCATCGCCGAAGGTCGCTGACTTTATGGATCATCATCCCAGCGTGCCGCTGGGCGTGGGTTGATGACCCACGTTGGCCAAGGGTAACTCGCTTTGTCCGATTGTTATTTTGGTTTTCTTAAGGTGGAAACACTGATCGGCGTTGGGAAAGTCCGGAGCAAAATTGAAAGTTGAATTTCGCAATGACCTTGATACAAACTCGTGGTTGTGTGATAACAAAATAACAGCTGATTGGTGATGGCATTGAGCTTATCAACTGATCGCGACTGTGATAACACGCTTATTTCCCGAACATCTTTGTTAGGAAACAAAGAAACTATTGATATCAGTCAACTGCGAAAAACTCATTGTTTTGCGGCTACGAGGCCGTTTAATTCGCAATGACTTACCTATTAACCGATTTTTGCTAATTTTCCTAATGAATTATACAAACAACGAGATTAACAGTTGGTAGCAATGACAGCTCAATTAACTCGAGACCTATCGCTGATTACAAACTGCCAATATTGACATTTAAAGGGTTGGTACTCTTGGGTCTAATTTTAAACTTTCACTCACTTTGTGATTAGATCAATATCTGGCACCCCCGAAATGTCACATTTATTGATTTAACATTTAACGATGTCCAAACATTTTTATTTTTGCATGGAAACAATCTTGTGTTATGCAAGTGTTGACAATGAAACCTACATTAAAAAGTTTCAACCTCGTAAACAACTTCACTTTTGTTAAAAATATTTTTGCTTGTTGACGTATGTACAGCGCTACCAACGCTATAATGATGCAAAGTCGGTTTATTCGTAGAAGTTGCGAAATGAAAATTTCAGTGCGTCACTTGGACGTAACAGCGGGAATCGATTTTACCCCAAATCACGTTTTTGTGTATTCAACTCTACGAAATTCATGATCAATGAAATATCCATTAGGTAAGGGTTGGCCATGAGTTGTCATTTTGGCAAGCCTGTAAAAAATACAGGTGGGAATCGGCAAGCCCACCTCCTACCACAATTGAAGCTTTGAATTCAATTTGACCGACTGTAATTCTTGTAATTGCTGTTGCTAATTAAAGAAAATAAAAATGAATTTTAAAATGATGAGAGAACAACTAAGAAACGGTTGGTAATTTGTTCATTAAAAAATAAAGTGTAGCAAATCGTTACAAGTAAAACTGATGAATGATGAGAAAATGCATTTGGAATTTTTTAGTATGTTACATTACAGTAAACTAAAAACTTAAAATCTTAATTTGGCGACCTTGCCTATTACAACATTGAAAAAAAACTATTAGAATCAAATCTGTTAAAAATGAAAACCACCAACAAGGAAGTAAAATTACTACTAAAAACCTATATAGGAACAAAATTGTTGAGAGGGGGAGATTTTTTTGTACATAAGTGTGGGGAACCAGGGGAAATAAAACCGAAAAACAGTTAATGCTGTTTTTTGTTTTAATTTACAGTGTAGCAAACTTGGAAGATTAAAATGGCTGAGACACAGCTGGTAAAAACAGTACAGTTTATTAAACCTTATTAGAAAGCTTAGAATAGTAAAACTATTAAGAAGCAGTTACGTTTTTATCGAAGTATAACAAACTTTTAAAAGTAAAAATAAGCCAAGTAAAATTATGATTTATTTGAAAATACTAAGAGACAGTTGGTAACTTTTTTGTTACACAATATATAGTGTAGCAAACTTCTACTGGTACAAAAAAGCTTGTGAGATGAACCGCTGTGCTTATTTGAAAAACCTTTTCAGTGGCGTTTCCCATCTGGGAGGCATTTTATTTGTGGCTGAGTAAACTTGAGATGCATATACCTGAGCACCCCTTGAAAGTTCGATCGTAAACCAAGTCAAATCCCTTCACTCTCAACTCTCCAATTGTAAATTTTTACAATACGTTAGTGTGGCACAACTGAATTGCGTTGTAGAGTCGTAATGAATTTGACCTAAAATTCCAAGTCGTATGCTGTTGCCTCAAACGTGCTTGCAAGCTAAAATTTGCATGAAAACCCTCTCTAGAGTGTTTGTTATTATCTTAAAGCCGGGCGACCCCAAGATGGCGACTCGATGAAAAAACGCGTCCGATGAAATTAATTCTAGTGATATTTGTGTGGAAAACGCTGCCAATTCATGGCGGAGCCGGAGCCTCAAGTCATTGGCCATCGTGTCCACAATACGCCAACTAACGGTAAAGGTTAAAACCGTCGAAATTGAAGTTCATTTCCCTTTTCCGCGCCTCGAATCTGACGAAATCTCTGTACAGTTATCACCGCGAGTCAGGGTCAGATCACCGAAATGCAATTCTGCCCTCGATTGACCCTAAACTGCGTCTCATTCCACGATCAATCGCCATGGATATTTGATGAGTTTCGTGGAGTCGAATGTGACGTCGTTGGATGTTGGATATATACAAAGAAGATCGCTCGTGGGAGCGGGAACGCGGAGGGGGCAATCTGGAGGACTGCGAGGACATTGCCCTCGCAATGTTTACATCGCAATAGGGCCGGCGAGCACCCCACGTGTGCTGTGATACAGACTGCCGGTCATGCACCTGACCAGGGGCACAGCCTCGCCAAAAACACACGACACGTGGACTCCAAATCGACACTCGCTTGGCATTATTGTATGGAAATTTCGCTCAGGAGAGGCGACGTCATCGAAGTAGCGTTGGCTGTATTTTGTTTCAAGGTCGCAACGCGTTCACCACTGCAATAAACTTTAATAACGTGACGTTAGTCACGAAAACGCACGCCACTGGACTGGACACCCCAAGGGAGCTGAGACGCCATAACTAATGGAAATATCGCTCTTTGTTGCGTTGTTTTGCAACGAAAAACTAAATTACTCCTCTAATTCTGATATATGGAAGATTAGCGCACGACTAATTCGCTCTTCCCGGGGAAACACCCCGAAATAGAAGCACAATAACAATAGTCTTCCTTCTATTGATATCAAAAATAAAACGATTTTTTTAGAATATTGATCAGCTGCGGGTCCTTAAACTCGTCGGTATAGCAACCGTGGTTTTGTCTCTTATATTTTTTTTCGAATACATAGTTTGAGGGGGTATCATTCAAGGACTCGAGAGGACCGAGTTCGATGTACTTCTCTTCCAAGAAAGAAAAATCGAAGTACTTTATCACTCGATTAATAAATAAATAATCCTTTTAAGTGAAAATTATGATAAAAATCGTGTACGCATTTGAGATAATGTCATTGACATTGACTTCAATTGTCATTCCACACCTACAAAAACTGTTACGTCATACGGTATGAACTAGAAACTTTCTCGATTTTTTTTAGTCATTGGCGTCATTGCAGTATTTACGATTTTTATGATTCTACATAAAAACTGACCTTTTCAAGATTATATGAGGTGATTTACCAGTGGCGTAGCAAACGGAGGTATTATAAACCTATTATCGTATCAACAATAAATTACTCCCTAGGATTTAGGGATATTATGAATAGGTTGCCATATATTTGGTTAGGTTGGTTTTTAGTGACAAACAAAAGATATCGTAATGTCAAAAATTTAGGTTAAGTCACCTGTCATTTTGTATAGATAACTCAATTGATAGTTGACAGCAGGTTGATAGAAAACGTCAACCGTTAACAACAAGGGGTAACCAACATCACTAGGCATTCAAAATTACTTCTGAAAATTTTAGTTACAAACAACATGAAAAACGTAATTTTCCTAAAAATTCAAATCCTAGGTGGTAATTTCTTGTTGACAAATCTTTAATTTGAGTATCGAAATAAAAAACAAAAACATACCTACAACATCGCAACTGCGTTTTTTGAGGTGACAAAATTTCGGTTACTGTATAATAGAAGAATGTGTTACAAATGAACCTTACTGATAAATTTGGAGATGTTTCACACCCACAGAAAAATAAAAGATAACAAATTCTAGTAGCAAATAACATTGTGATGCAGAAGAAATAAAGAAAATATGAGAAAACAACACAGCTATGATAATAGACGTATTCAAGCAAAACAAATTGTAGATAGTAGCTTGGTTTCATGACTACTTACAAGAGGAGATTTACAATGAGCAGGGAGAGCGAAAAAATCACTATTATAATCAGCCAAAAATAAATAACTTTGAACAAAGGGTGCAACAGTGTTAGTTTGGCATTCGGATGAGAGTGACAGACAATGAATCAATAAAAGTCTCGACTTTGGTTTGTCGTGGCTGATGTTTTGATGCCACGCTAGAATAATTTTGTGTTCATTTTTCTCATGGCCAAGTAAAATTTTCCAAAGTTGCATTTAAATGCATTTTTGTTTGTTTTCTATTATCTGTTTAGCACAAAACAGTTTCGTCATGACGTTCGAAGTTGTTTACTGAAGATATTTGTGTTAATTTGTGAGTGCAGGTAGTAAAATCATTACCGAAGCATAACAAGTGAACTAGTTTTATTGAGGTTCATTGAGTTGGTAATGTGTGAAACGTCATAATTTCTTGTTGATGTTTCATATCAATTAGTTATTTTTAATCGATTGTGTAACTGCGTATTAAATATCACCCAAAATCTTCACTGTCAATTTGATGTATTATTGTTTACATTTGTTATCCGGAGCCGCAGGCCGGTAAACATCGCAAATTAAGTTTTCATAGCGTTTTCGCAATGCTTGGACCGAAGTTAGGAAATGTTGAGATTTTCAAACGCGATATACGAATTTCAATCCTCTTTTATTTTTTCACACGTCGTGAAATGTATGCAAAATTTCGTCAATCGAAACAAAATCCGAGTGCAAAACCGTGACATAATTTATACTAACAATATTTCCGATTTAATAGCTCTCCGTGTTCAGCTACCTGCATGGAAAGCTATAATAAACAAAAAAAAAGTGGTCGTAATTAAAGCCTTCTCCCTCGCGAACATATTTCCTGTTAATTTCGCGTGCTTCCAGGAAGTTAGCTTTTGATCCAATCGATAAAATAGTTTTAGAGAAAATGAGTGTAAAACAGGTGTTTTTCGTTGGAAAATCCCGAATTTTGATGTCGGTTTGTTTGGTGTGGAAAGCGGGAGCGTAGCAGGCCAAGGACAAAGGATTCGACCAACTTTGATCCTTAAAGCCTTGTCCTTTGCTGCGTTCAGGGCTGCACGTGGCAATGTCTATAAACACATCGATCCAGACGCCATTTTGKCGACGTCATTCGCTTCGATCCTGGATAGACGAGGATAGCACCAACACAAAGCACTGGCCTACGACATCTTTCTCTTTCGTTAGGCCTTYCTTTGTTCGCTGATATGAATATCCCGGGTACTTTCACCCCATRACAGGTGAGGGGGTGTTTTATAGGACAGGTGTCCGGTGTGTCAAACAGGGGAGCTACCTGTTGACAATGTCYCCCACGTCCTGTCTAGCCCCCTTGATTCTAAAAGCGATCTCTAAAAGCTAAAATTAGCCTCTTTGTTGCAGAACGTCACCCGAATTGTGTTCCAATGCATGTGGCCTAGCTGCCTAAAAATACGAGACACCTGTGAAGCCATCCTCGCCCATCTCAAGTAAGTATAAAAACGCTTTTCACCCCAACGACCTCGAGCAACCCCAGCCCAGACGACTATCAAATTCCATATTTTTTACCTGCTTTACGACCGAGGACCGTCCTATGTGGCGCCCTCTCCCAAAATCAAAATAACGGCCAGTTAGCTGATTTCGGAAACGGAATCTTAACGGTCCAAGGCTATGTAACAACCTTGCTGAAAACGCGAAATTTCACGATTTTTCGGCTCGGTTTAATCGGCCTTGACGCTAATGATGAGAGTATTAATAGGCGGTGTCCTATGCCAGCTGGATTTTGGCAAGGCGATCGCGGCCGGCCATGCAAACACGCTACCGATCGTGTTTTGTTCCAGCAGTGGCGTGCTGCGCGGGTCACGTCCTGTTTACCGGAATGATGCACGAAATAACCGGTTGATGGGTGATTCACGAGCCGATGGGTGTTATGGTCGTTACGAAATTTGCAAAAATAAACAACGATTTGCATTTTGTTGAGTGGATGTGACGTTTGGTGCAGGCTGCCAAAGATGTGGGTGGCCAAATGTCGGCTACTTTTTTATAGAACTACACAGAAAATAAATTATTTTTAATTTAATTTTATTAATGTACCTACAACCACATTTTTTTATACAATATAATCCAGAAAATAAATAAATAAAATATGAAAGTTTTTATGTGGTACCTATACTTAAATAAGAAAATCCGAAAGGATTTTGTAATAAAAAAACCTCTTGATTGTGTAACATGTTTTTTTAAATAAAAATATAAAATTTTGAAACACCATATTTTTTTCCTTAAAATGCAAAATTTAACTTTAAATTTGACGGTTGAAGTATCAACTCAAAATACATTTCCGTTGGTTTTTTGTGTCAACTATATCTAAGAGTGATTTAATTATAAAAATTAAATTAATTCAATTTGTTTTTAATCTAAAAAATTAAGAAAACACGATGTGCTACAAAATGGCCGCGGTCGTTTTAGTTGGATCACTCTGCATACAAAAGCAAACGTAAATTGCCTACAATTCTTTATTAGAATAAAAAAAAACCTTTTATTAGATAAATATTGCGGCTTGTTAGCGAATCAGATAAAAGATAAGAAATGTCACTACTAATAAGGAACAGGTAACTTTTTTTTTTGGGGTCGTTAAATAGATGAAATACAAAGGTCTTTAATTAAAAAAATTGACATTGTTGAAAATCAACTTAAATGCAAAAATACAAATTACGTAACAATCGATTGCTATATTACTTTTTATTATTATCATTTAAAGGATTAAGATATTTTTTTATTTATGAATCTTTTTTGTGAGATTAGTTTACGAAATAATATAAATATTATTAAAAATATTAAAAAAAATATTCGAAACGTGCGGTAGTGTGATAAATTTGCGTTCCTTGAAATAATATTGCTGTCGTTTCAGAATAGAGGTAGATCTTCATGAAACTGGATATCTTTTCTAACTTCAATTTTTTTTTCTTGAATTATCCAGAAATTATGTATGTTTTTGTGATTTTTTATGGAAAGAACTAATTGTTTTTTATAGTTTTGGACACTTGTCTCTTTATAGTTCAATACTTACATGTTAAAAATAAGTTTGTTCACACCTCCTTTTTTTTTAAAATTACCTCGCATTTAAGAATAAAAATAAGAAATTTATTTTGACGGTTTATTTTGCAATTTACCTACTTAAATAACAGTTTTATTGATTGAAATGATAGTTAACCTGCTTGCTTGCAATCGAAGTTTTTAAAACAGTTTGAGTAAATGAATAATAATTATTATTCAAAGTAAATGTCAAACTACAGCTTACTTTGAGTGTTGATACAAGTTGGAGTTATTTTTGGTTCTATTGTGAATTTATTATGTAACATGTGGTTATGCAACCAACAATACAGGCATAAATCTTAGATTTTTTGAAAAAAAAAATTCCGAAATTTCGGTGTTATGACTAAACCATTATTTTGGTTTTCTTTTCGATGAATCACTCACAATTTATATCGCTAAAAAGTGAACCTCTGTTATTGCCAACACGCGAAAAAATCTGAGGTAAACAGTAATTTCTTGGATCCGCGCCGTGTTATTGCGAATATTCCAGTGCACGTGTCTTATTTTCTTACATAAATAATTTTATTAATGAGACCTTGTATTATCCATCGTAATCCGCGCATTGCGCCGCTCCATTCACGCAATTATCGTTCGTATATTTTTATCGCCTCCCCCACTCGTGAAACCGCACGTGCAGTCCTCTAACTGGCATTTTGTCACCAGGGACCACGACGTGCTCCCCGGAGAGGAGGAGTTCTACTTCACGGAGGTGGAGCTGGGGCTCACCAGCCCGCCGCCAACCTTGTCTCACCGCGACATGGCGCGGCCCCCGCACGAGGATCCCGACTACCAGCGGCAGATCGTGGGCTCCTTCCGACAGACGCTGCTGGCGTCGGCGCCCCCGCAATCGCCCCACAAGCTGCTCAAGTTGTCGTCGCCGCGACCGCACAGCCCCAAGACGCCGGCATCGCCACGCCGCGTCCGTGGCGAGAATAAGAAGTGCCGCAAAGTCTACGGCATGGACCATAGGGAGCAGTGGTGCACGCAGTGCAAGTGGAAAAAGGCCTGCTCGAGGTTCGGGGACTGATCCAAGTGACAGTGACCTCGGCGCCGATCTCAGACTAGAGTCAAGTACAAGGACGGGGACGTTGATGTCGTGTTTGATCGTTTTATGGACATGTGATCAGTGTGAAGATCTCAGCCAAAGTGCACCACGTCGCGCTACCTTACCGTACCGGACATTATTGATGATGATTCGATTCGCTTTTGCTGTTTTGGTATTAGAGATTAGGTGAGATTTGTGAGATTGATGATATACCTGCCATAGTTTGTAGGGGCTATGAGTATTTTAAATTATTATAGAATGTACACGCCGTCCCCGAATCAACGGCCGAAACGTCAGTTCGGGAACGGCTTGGTATATTAAGCGTCACGAAAGACGCAGCGAGTCACTGCCCTGTTTATTGCTTCTGTGTACTTTGTATTATTGTCGATCTTTTTAAATTTTTATCTATTGTATATTGTTAAGAGGCAATCGTGCACTTGTATCAAATTTGTATGAAAGAAATCATAGTTATTTACACATTTCATTACCTCTAAAGTCTTTCATTTTTATTATTATTATTTTTGTTATTCCTCATATTTACATTTATAGAGTATTTATATACATAATATAATTATATATTTTTCAGAGTATTCATATATTTTTAATGTTAAGTTGAAATCATTATCATGTTAAATTTTAACACAGTAAATAGCTCGTAAGGTACATAAACTTATACATTAAAGAAAAATACATTATATTTACATTAGTTACAAATGTATATTTAGAATTCATCCAGAGAATGATTTATGAATGAACATGAAATTCGGCAAATTTATTAATAAAGCATATTATATTATCTAATTCTTTTCTTTTATTTACTATAGACCCCCAGTTTAATGTCAAACGTCAATTGCAATACTCATGGACAAATGACGTCATTGCACGTGTCCAACTCAGCCAACTACAATTTGTTCAATGAAAAAATTCAACCTTTGTCAATACCACGAACAATTTAATAAATGATTACAATGGGAAATTCAAATCTCCTTTTTAACGCAAAAAACGTGAAATAAACACGTAATTAACGATTCCGCATCAGCAAAAATAAACAATAAAAGAAAGTCATTTATGGCAGTTTAAAACTCCGTAACTATTACATAATCAGAAAGTGTGATAACATTTACCATTGTGTATGACAAGTTTTTACTATAAAAGGAGATTCTTATTTACTGCAGTTTACAAAAAAAATGCGCTTTTTACCCCGTCCCCGACTTACCCTAATATTTATAATTTAATTTTTAAGTTGGTATGAAAAACATCAACATCACCCACCAAAATAAAATGCTAATTTTCTTAACACAGGAAAAGACAAAAAATATTTCAAACTTGAAACAAAAAATGCGAACAACGAAGTTTGTTTTTGTTGTCTTTAATTTATTAGACTCAGTAAACACATTGTTCTGTTGGCTCCCCTGCAGCATCAAAACAAACCGACTTGACAGCTGACGTTTACAAAATTTGAATTTAATTTTCTTTATTTGGCATTTTAGTCCAGTTTTTGCCTTAAAATTAATTTTGACCGACAAAACATGGTAACGACCTTTTATTTAGCTCATTGTTGCATGTTTCACATTGATTTTGTCAAGGTTATGGACTCCTCAAGCATACTTTGAGGTTATGTCCCTCAACCGTCGAAATGTCCATCAATGTAACTGTCTCCGGCAACCCCGTGCGTATAAATCGCGGTAAAATGGTGACTTCTTACGACCCCGTGAAAACTGAATTCGAAAAACGCCGTTTGATGCGTCTTGAACARGTCCGTCAACAATCAAAAGATATCGCTGAAACTGTCCGCAATAAACTAAAGAAAGAGAAAACCAAGCAGTTGTCACAAATTGAGAAAGATGGAGATGTCAGGTTAAAAAACTGGCAAGCGCGAAAGTTGCTAGAGTTGCAAAATCAGTACCAAGAGGCGCTTGATGAGATCGGGCTGGGACACAAGGAGGCGGCGAGGGTTGCTGATGAAGAAGAGGCGTTTTTAGAAGATGAAGAGATCTGGGAAAGAGTTGCGGAAGAGCGGGGACGGGAAGCGGCTCAAAAGTTGCAAATTGAGCGAAATGAGGAAAGTTTGAAAAGGGCTGTGCCTGTTCAGAGGAAGAAATTAGCGCGAGATGAAGAAAATAGTCGGTCAAATGCTGTTGTGAGAAAGACAAAACAGAAGAAAAGTCCCTTCAAGAAAAAAAAGATACAAGTGTTTGATTCTGACAGTGAGAATCGGGTGCCGCTGTTGGAGGGATTGGGAGAGGATTCTGATTGGAATTCGGATTTGGGGGCGACTAGGAGGGTTACTGGTCCACGGAAAGTGGCCACGGAGGCACAAACAAGTCCCACAATTTTTGAAGGTAATAAAATTTAATAGAAACGTCCTTTTTACTCAAAAAATTTCAGTTCCGACAAGCGATAAAGCTGCACAAACGAACATTTATGAAGGTACTTTTCCGAGCACATCCGAATTTCCCCACGATACTCGAATTTCCGAACGAATAAAACGCCGAGTGATTCCTAAACCAGAAACGGATTATTGTAATTTTGCTGAAAAGGAAGTTTCCAGAGAAATTGGTTTATGTCCGTGCTGTTTGTGTCATGGGAAACACTTTCACGGGGTTGAACCGGTAACAATGGACAATTCACCCGAGGTTCGGGCTCCATCGGCAATGTCCGTGAGACATGAAAGAAAATCGGAAAAGGGCCAACCGTACACACAACCTCAGAACTTGGACGATGTAGTTGCAACTACGATCCCTCAAAAAACGAACACCACGAACAGAGAGGATGCTAACTTGAAGCCTAATGATAGTAGTTTGAGGCAAACACAGCGTATACCGCAAAGGCCCGATCAGGTGATTAAACCTAAACCAGACATTCCGTCAAAACCTAAGGTTACTTTGAAATCGACTAAAAACCGTCCAAGTAATTTTGGAGGTGGCCCAAGTCCTCAAAAAGTGCAATTCTACGACCATCCAAACCGTTACACAAAGTTCTACCTCCCGAAATCTTCACAAGTGGAAAAAATCGAGGACGAAAATCTCGTAATTTCACCAAATGTCTTGAGTGAGGAAGAAATGTACGAAAAGATGCGTCAGAGAGACCGCGAGGCCCACCTCAGAGGTCAAGTTGCTTTAGAAAAGGAGCGAATCCAAAGAGAGTATCGCGACTTGATGAAAAAACTCCCAGTTTTACAAAAACAAGAACGCATTGCAGAGATCGGTCTCGATAAAGAGAAGTATCATATGTCGGGGGTTCGATTGGAAGAATTAGAAAAAAAGAGACAAAACAGGCTTGATAACGCTTATGAAGAGTTACTAGTGCGTCACAAGCCGGCTACTGTGACCCTCCCGCGAAAAAATGACGATCGGGGAGAAAATCAAAGTTTAAATCTAGCCTGGGATGTCGATTTCGAGCCCAAAGATTCGACCAATCTCAACCGTACCGAACAATTGAGTCATTTATTATCCACCCTGAAGTCGCAAAAGAGTCATTTACTCAAAGAAATTGAAAATACCCTTTCGAAAGAGAGCTCGAGTCAGTTCGACGAAATCAAGTCGAAATCGACAGATTATCCTCGACGGAAACGAAGTCGAGACGAACGCCCAATTTCCCCCACCATCAGTGATGTAATCCCTGAAGAGGAATCCACAACAGTCAAAACGAAGCCGAGTCGAAAAAGCACCGCTGTTGTCCCCAGTCCGCGCAAAAAACGCAAAACTTCGCGGAAAGTCCTCGTAAGACAAAACAGTAGTACCCAAACTAGCCCAAAGTCAGGCCGAAGTGTAGCAACTTCGCCTCACGTGAACACCCCAGTCGAAGATACATGCAAATGTCCGAAGAAAGACAGTTCGGAGGAAATCTGCGAAGTGGTGATCAAAATCAAAGACGGGGAAAAGCCGGAAGTCGTAGTACAGCCGCCGTTTACAGAGAAGAGTGTCAAAGTGATTTCGGAAGTTGAGGAGAGAAAAGACGCTGAAAGGCCAGCATCGTGGCGCGAGGAATTGACTAGGACTGCGTCGAGTTCGAGCACTTCATATTTAGAGCCCCCACAATCTGGGCGGAGCGACAAATCATCCGTTTTGAAAAAAGTCGGAGAGATGTCGAGGACTATGGACAGTACTGTTTCCAGCGGAGCGAGTGCGAAACAACTCGATCCCAGACTTTTGGTTTACATTAAAAAACTGTTGAATATGTCGAGGGCTAGTATTGATGATTTGACAGTCAGTACAGCGAGTGATGTGTCCACACCGAGTCATAGTGTGGTTGAAATGCCGAGTAACAATCCACTTTTGAAACTCTTAAACGTGATGAGGTACTACAATTTGGATGTTGCAGACTTGCAAAAACAATTGAGTTACGAAACTGACGAGAGTGGTAGACATTACAACACTAGTGAGAGTATTGCTGTTACATCAAGTACCTCCGAGGGTGACAAGTCTGTACAATTTAAATCTTGTACTCAGTTAGACTCAAGTACTAAAGTCGAAGGAAGGAAAATACAAGACTATGCCAATATGGCGGCATCATGTACGAAAAAAATTTCCAGCTTGACAGCAATGATTGAGAAGGTGCGTGCCGATAAGAAGAAAATGATGAGTTCTGGAAGTAGTGGCAGTGATAAGGACTTAACCCTCACTTCATATTTGCAATTACCGGACAAGAGCGGTGAAAAAGATAGTCCGAAACAAGAAGATATTGATGCTAAACTGCTAGATATCGACTATAATTATGCCGAAAAATTGAAACAGTTGAGTAAAGARGAACTGGAGGTTGAGAAACAGAAAGTCGAAGTGAAAGAACCGACAGATGAGGAGCTTTTAACTCGATTGAAACGGCTGTTACAAGATAGTAAACAAAATAACAAAAATAAACACCACACTTGTTCCTTAGAAAGCACCAAGGAATTTTTACAAAAAATAGACGACACTTGTGTTAAACTCCTCAATGAAAAAAAGCTAGTTAAAGATGAACAAGAGGGCAAGACTGCCGGTCAAGTGTCCGAAAAAACATCAGTTAGCCTTAAAGATGACAAAACACCCTCCACGTCATTTCCCCTCCTTTTAGACATTCCGAAACTCCCCCGTCTCGAGGCACCATCCCTGGAAAAGAAACGGAAAAAGCGTCCCCCGCCTACTAAATCCTTGCGGCCGATTCCCGAACCTGTCGTTCCACACGAACTGTCGACTATAATCGAAGCCGACAGTCAACTGTCGGCCAAAGCCGAAAGTCCTATCAAACCTAAGCGGAGCAAAAGTCCCAAAGGGAGGCCCAGTTCTGCTGGTTCCAAATCTGGTGAAGTCCCCGATATTTTAACCGAAGTTGTCAAAGATAAGTCGTCAAATTCAAGTGACTTTTCCGAAATGGAAACAATGGAGACGATGTTGATGAGTATCGGAATGGAATGGGCGATTCCTACATTGAAGAAAACGCGAGAAGCGTTAGCACTGACGTCGAGTTCGAGCGGCTCGAAAGAGAGTGGGGAATTGAGCTTAAGGGAATTTTTGAGTAAGATTTCGAGTAGTTCGGATGTTATGTCGATGAGTGATTCACAAGGGATGTCGTTGATTCATGATGATAATAGGATGACGTCGACGCCGATTGCGGGGTATGGGGAGAAGAAAGAGGGCCAGCCGATTTTTTTGACTGACTCGGATCTTAGTTCGGTTAAGGAGCATTCAGGTAGGACGAAGGATGTGGAACAAAGGTTTTTCGAAGTAATGGAACAGTCGGGAAAGAAGGACTGAAATAAGATATTGGATCATCATCATGATTTTTCTATTTGTAAATTTAGTTTTTTAATAAAGTTGTTTTTACTAAACGAATACGAAAGACAAATGTTAGCAAATCATTTTCACAAACATTTCTAAGTTACTTTATTAAAAAAATCTAAAATTGAAATATACTTCTATTATTGAAAAAATTTCACTTTCTAAGAACTTCAGCGGCATGTGTTCTTAAAGTTCTAAAATTACATTATATCAGATTTGGGATTTTTTAAAATACAGTAGTAATAATATAATCGTTTAATAAAAAATGACGTATGTACAATAAAAAAAAGAAGTAGAGAGGTATTTACAATTAAAAACAGAATGGCACGTTACATTTCTAAATATCACTGACATTTAAATGTATTTAGATTACAGGTTCCTATAAAATTTTGCTTTAAAATTGTAATTTTTTTTAAATCACAATTACTTAAAACAGGTGGGTTTGCCATTGGAAAAAACAAACTTATTTTTTTTTATTAAGTTAATAGCTTTGTTCAGTGGCTACTATTTGTTTTTCCAGCCATTAAAGTAAAATAAATAGAAATTACGTACAAAATCACAATTGTCTAAATAAACTTAAAACACTTTTGCTTATCGTGTGGTATACGCGTCTTAAACAGAATCGAATCGGCCCTATACTGGGTATTAAGCAACGGCGTGTACCCAAACACTTGTGAGAAAAAATTAATACATTTGTGTCTCTCTTGAAAATGCGTATCATCTTCGGAGAGACTTTGAGGGCAGCCCGGGCACCGGAAAGTCCACCTCGAGGTGACTTTAACCGGCGGCAACCTCGTTATATGACTTACCAGAAAATTCATGGCTATGTCTTCACAATTCATGTACTCGTCCACTTTATCTCTGATTGCTTGAGGCAACCATTTCCAATATAAATGTAAGTAATGTCGGTGCAGAAACGCCGCCCCCGTCAAAACCATACTCAACTCGCAGCTGTAGTTCGAGTTGTACAGCCAGCTGTTCTGCGTGTTGATATCCCAGGCATGGTAGCGACCGGGGAACCCCACAATGCGTTCCCTATGCTCTCGCCAGACCCTAAACCCGAAAAGAATTTCATCGTGCCTCAAATGGGCGTCGTCATCAACGGACAAAATCGCCTCCGTTTGGAGGTTATCAAGTGGGAGAAAGCGGTTATTGAGCGAGTTACGGGCGGCTTTGACGACATGAACAGGGGCCCCTATATCAGGCCAGCGAAGCTCAGGACTGGGGGGCCTCGGCGAGTTCCATACGACTACAACCGAGTTGAGATACGGCAGCCCTCGGAGCCTTGCAATTGAGTCAAGTAGGACTTGCTCGCGCTCGTATGTTAGAAGGAGGACTGTGAATTGTTCCCGGGGGCTATTACCACCTAACGCTTCGGAGAATTCTTTGCCTGCACCCCCTTGACCTTGACCAATTGGGCGGAAACCCCGCCCTGACCCCATAAACTTGGCATCTGACGGTAGGAGAGGGTCAGTCGGGAGGGCTGGATACAACCGGAAAGGGTCTCCCCAGTCGTTCCACATCTCGTGTCCTTGTGTTAACCCCAAACTGTAATTTCGGCGAAACGCGGGACTATTATAAGGGGGCTCCAAAGGCCCTAAGCTCTCCTCTTGTTCCGTTTCCACCGGAACGGTCACTTGAATCGGCTGGAAAGTTTCATTAAACACAGAAATGGCCGCTACTGTGTCTATGGGGATTGGAGGAATATTCAGCCTATCACGGAGTACTGCTACGATTGTGTCAAGTGTGCTTTGTACTGAGGCCAAGTAGCGCTCCCACACGAGCCGCCCCTGACGTCTCATTAACAAAACGTCTTCATCTGGCATGGCGCGCAACAAGAAATGTAATTCCGTGATCCGTGCTCTCGGTAAAAAAATTGCAACTCTACGCCACTGAATTACTTCATCGTAAGCCAATCGAATTTGGTCGCCACCTAAAATCACAGGGATGGCTCCACAACGCAAAGCTTCGTAAATCCGGGCCTGTAACAGTGTCGTTGTGACCAAGTCGGAGAAAGTTGGAGCGAAAACAAGCACGAAGGTGGAGTCTCTTAGGACGGTCCTGCGAGAGCTATCAGTGCCGCACAAAGCCCAGTCTTGGGGCCCAATATTGACATTATCGTCGCTAGCGGGGACGCACTCGAATTCAAACAGGAACCTGTAATTGTTCATAATAATTAAAAAAAATGAGGCGCTAATGAAATTACTTGTCGGCAGTGTTCGTCTTGGCCAACTCTTTTAAATGCTCGATTATAAATTTATCGAGTTCGGCGTGTTCTCGATCCAAGTCGGTGTCGTCACCATGTAAGGGGTTAGGAGTCTGGGTTTTGGTACTCTTAACTTCACCTTGAAACGTCAAGAGATATTTGCGGCGCGCGGGCAACATTTGGGGACACTCTTGCCAGACATCGCCTCCTGGAGGCCCCAAAACCGGCGATACGATTAAATCAAAACCGGGCCTGTACACCCGAGACGAGAAAGTGCTCTGAACTAAGATGGCTTTGCCTGAAACCAAATGTAAAAAAAGAAAACAATTGAATTATTTTTACCAGTGTCAACTGAGGAAAAAACATCCCCTGAGGCAGCGGTGAGGTCCCTCCGAGCCAGATTAAGCAAAACGTGGTTGCGGCCGTCTCCACCCCAGTAGGGCAGCCGTTTCAGGGCGTTGGAGTCCAACGGGGGGAGATTCAGGTGATTCCCCACGTTCTCGCTGATGTCGTCGACATCTTTCAGCGCCTCTCCGACCAAAGCAACAAAAATACAAGCCTCTTTGGGGTTGTTCGTCAGGTGGGGGTTGTATCCCAGCGTTTGCTTCAGTGTTGTCTTGAGGAAACCATCCACGTCCCAACCGTCGTTCATGACCGGAAACTGGTCTGGGTCATATAAATAAACCGGGAACCCGGAAGTCAAAGAGCATCTTGAATGGTCGAAACAGGAAAACATCCGGCAAAATTTGATCTGAGATGGCGGGAGTGATGGGAGGATTGGGGGGATTTCGTCGGCGGTTAAGCGCTTTGGGAGGGCTAAGTCTGGAGTATTTTGTTGGAGGGCTTCCCGTTGCGCCACTTCCGCTTGTTCCACTGAGATCTTCAAGCGATTGAGATTGGTTTGCTGGTGGGCGAGTTCTTGTTTTAATTCTTCAATGTTTTTGGTGTAAGACTGGATTTCTAAAAGGAGTTTTTGACGTTTGCGTTCCATATCTCGCAATTCGCTCAAAACTGAGCCTTTAATTCTAATTAATTCCTCAACTCCGATTCTCAAATCTGGTTCTTTCATGGCGTTGAGGTCTTCAGGAAGGTCTAAATGCGAATGGGCGTCGTGTGTGATATGATTTGAACTTCTTTCGATGTTTGAAAGGTAAAAGTGGGTAAAAAGAGGCGTTAAAATTAAAATTATGAAGACCATAATGACGATTCGAGATAGTTTGATTTGAGTGAGCTTTTGGCAAAATTCTTTGCCGTATTCAACGAGAGGCAGCATTGTTGGCGTAAATTTTAGAAAAAAGCAACCGAAAATGGATTAGAGTGTAGATAACCTCACTAATTTGCACAAATCCATTGTTGGGCCTTAAAGTATTTTTTTTATACAAGTACATTAACCCATGGCTGGTGTGCGTATTTCTTATTTATTCTCATTGTTTATCTACACAAGAAATTATAAACAGATCTTAAGAAATGGATTGACCAACTCAACCCCTGCTGTTTTTGTAAAAACTAAATGCTAAATGCGCTTATTCTAACAAGCGCCTTCTCCTACAAACGCGAAGTACAAAAAATTATTACTTTTATAAACTAATTAAATAATTTTAAATTATATAGATAAAAAAAAGTTATAAATTAATTTTTAATAATTTATATTTAATTGGATTTTACAAAATACAATGTTAAATTATAAAAATTAGCTCTCATAGATATTGGCGTTTGTGCCTCAAGGCATTATCACAAAATTTACGCTATTTTCATATTTCTGTAGAAGATGGCGCTTGTATTTCTGTCAATTGTTCTGTCAAAAGATATCAAAACAAGAAGTATTTTTATCGATTTCTGCGTTAAAACCTCTAGAATATTAGAATGACCGCGCCAATGGAACGAATCCAAGTTCTCGACTCTATCGAGAAAGATATAATTACGTGCCTACATAGTGCAGGTATTTTTCAACACTTTAACCTCACAACCGTTATTCCTAACCTGAAAAATTCCAGGACAAGTTTTCGTCGAGCTTAGTAAGGAGAAATCAAGCTTAAAACAAGCCGAAAATCACACTCAAACCTTTCTTAAGACTTTGGGGGCCGTCGAGAACAAATTAACAGAGCAGATCAATTACCTGACACAAGTGTCAACGGGACAGCCCCACGAAGGTTCGGGCTACGCTTCACAGAAGGTTCTTCAAATGGCGTGGCACCGGTTAGAGCATGCACGGTCTCGTGTGAACGAATTAGACAGACTTAAACTGAAACACATGCAAGGACGTAGAGTGCAACCTCCTAATGGTCAAGGGTTCGGAAATAACGTTTCATCAACGTAACTTTTATAGATTTATTTACAAAATATAGTTTTTATGGCACTTGTATTATTTTTGTGTACACTCTCCGTTTTGGTGACTTTTTTTCGCTTTATTTCGTCTCCACTTTTCCACTTCTTGACGTATTCGGTTTACGTCAGTGGCGTAGGTCCGGCAACAGCCCCCGACCCAAGTGACTCCAAGGTCGAGCCATCTTTGGACGTAAGTGTCCACCGGCTCGCATTTGTCTCGGTCAATCCACCTAGAATTTGATTAAAAAACAATCATTATATTAATGATGGGGGCTTACCCGAGCTCAACTTTGTAACTTTCCCCACTGTTAGGGTACACGACTAGTGGAACCGGATTTTTCCTGTCTTTATTTATCCCGGAAATGAGCGATTCGACGAGTCGGGGAGCCACACAGTTGACACCCACTGCTACCAACTGTTGCGGGTTCAAGTCGTAACAATAGCGAGCCACTTCTTGAAAACTCTCACCGTAAGCCAAGGATTTGCCATCTTGCTACAAAGTCAAAAATGTATCATTTTTGAAATAAAAAATAATAATTGAGGACTTACCCGAACACTGAATGAGAGCCAGGCTTTGGTGTTTGGGAATTCTTTTCTGAGCAATTCTACTAACATTTCGGCCTCAATTTTGCAAGGGATAGTTTCAAGAGCCAGCAAATCGACTCCTGCTTCCACTAAAGCCCGAATTCGAGGTATATGCCACTCCCTCATTGTCTCAGCGGGAGTACTTTTAGCATAAGACCCTGTATATTCAGATCCGTCATGTAAGGACGCACCGTAAGGTCCTACGCTACCTACAACCATTGGAGGGGCTAAAAATTGAGTCTTGAAACTGCCTTTTTGGTACAAATTGTGTGTTATTACGCGAATTAGGAAACTCTTTATTGTACCRTTGACAGGCAACTCTTGCAAGTTGCACCGACTCTTTAATAAGTTCATAACTTTGCTCTTTAGTAAGTTTAAGATGTTCCATAAAGCCCTCAATGCTAGCTTGGTACGAATTAGTTATAACGAGATCAGCTCCAGCTGTAAAAATATATTTTTTTTCTTTGCAACTTTTATTGTGTTTTTCTACCTCTAAGAAAATCCAAATGTGCGTCAATGATAGCTTCTTTATCCGTGGCCAAAAACCGGGCGCTCCACAAAACATCACCATCGATCTGCTGACTCACGTGACAGCTCAGTTGAGTGGCGAAGCCCCCATCCAGGACCACAATGTCCCTTTCATCTGCACTCATTGTGTCATTGTGGSGCTTCTCTGAAGAACTGCCCACCCCAGGCGGTGCCATCTGGAAAAAACGGCGTCCGTGTTAATTAGCTCCGATCGAGCGAAAATTCACTGAGGAAAAAACGAAAATAATGTATCSGTGAGGTTTTCCGGTGGCCTTCATCTCGCAAATGGATGATCTACACGTGTGTTGATTTTCCAAAGTAAACAATGCCAATAACGGAGTTTCAATGATGTAATTATTTTTATATAGGGGAAGGCGGAACAGGTGCTCGATATCAGGGAAATATTGAATATGTTTTGCGGGAAATGAGTAACAGTTGGGGGCGGATTGGAGGTGCGGAGGAGTCAAGGGAAGCAAATGGAGTTACGAGAACGGGGATCAAAAGTCATTTTTTACGTATTCCATATTCCATACGTATTAATAGAACTTTATTATTTACATATTTCCATAAAATGATAAAAAATATACATAATACGAATGCGGGAAATTGGATGATAATACAGCCGGGGAAAGAGTCATTTTAGAAATTGGTAAAAATGTCATTTCCTAAAATCGAAAGCAATAAAGTTGGCAAATGACTTTTAGCAATGCAGAAAATTTAACTTAATTAGCTTAATTCTAAATTAAAATTTAATTCGTTTTCTGTAAACTGGTACTAAATAAGTATAAAGCTTTATTAACTGCATTGTTAAATGAAATCGTTAATTGATAATGGTATTAAATAATTAAAATGCTTTATTTATTAGAAAAATTTTTCAATTAGTAGAAGTCTAAAATGTCTCCCACATTAAAGTCTTACATTCAAAATATACAAGTTGTCCGGAAAGTCGTGCACCTCCTTGAAAGAGTGTAATTGGGTAGTCCTCCAGAATATTAAAAATTTTTTATTTTTGGACATTTGACATTTTTTATGTCTATTTAATGATACTGATTATCTTGTATACAGGCTCGCCAGAACTCGCGCCCCATAGAAAAATGGCCAGCGGCCATAGGTCGCTAAAAATGCAGCCGAAGAAGTAATTTTTGCTTGCATAAGAAAGTTATTAGAATCTTAAACCTACCAATTCCAGAAGGGAACCCAAGGTGTGGTTAAAAAATTATATCCGTTGCAAGGTTACAAAAATAATACCAATTTGCTCAGAACTTTCAAAAAAATAGCTGGTCTACTGTAATTTTGACAGTTATTAATGTCAAAACCTGCTAATTTCCAGTATTTTTCTCGCTAAAGACACTGATCTGAAGAGGTTGTACACGAGCATAATGAGACAGAATAGTTAATATTATCAATAATTATCAAAAATTATTTTGAAAACTTGATTCGCAAACATTCTGGAAATTTCCGATAAACCATCTTTTCTAAAACTTTTTCACAGTTATTGTTCTTTTCTAAATGTTGAAGATATTCAAAAGATCTGATCTAGAGAAAAAGGGGGTCATGTTATTGACAAACCACATCATTCTCCAAAAAAACAGCCACAAATTCATCGAAAAGCGTTGCTGAAATGCCCACGGAATTTTATTTAAGTAGTCACTAAAAAACAATGAAATTTCCGGCAGCAAAAATGCTAATATTTCGTCATAAATGTACACATCGCAACAATCTTCTGGGTTTTTTAATAAAAAAGCAACCAAGGAGTTATAGCAAGCTCATGGGGGTGGAAGAAAACAATAATAAATTGAATACATTTGATAAAGATAATGTATTAGTTTTCAAGCTCTAAATCGGCTTTGTTATTCTATATCAGATGGAAGAAAAAGTTGAGAAGGAACAATACCTGTGAAGAAGTTTTAGAGAAGTCGGTTTTCAAAATAATTTTTGATAATTGTTGATAATAATTAACGATTTTGTCTCATTACACTCGTGTACAACCTCTTCAAATCAGTGTCTTTAGCTAGAAAAATACTGGAAACTAGCAGGTGATGTCACCCACATGACATTAAAAAATGTTACAATTACCTACAGTAGACCAGCTATTTTTTGGAAGTTCAAATTGGTATTATCTTTGTAACCTAGCAACGGATATAATTTTTCACACCTTGAGGTGCCCTTCTGGGATTGGTGGATTTAAGAGTCTAATAACTTTCTTATGCAAGCAAATATTACTTCTTCGGCTGCACTTTTTGGCGACCTATTGCCGCTGGCACTTGATATTTTTCTCTGGGGCGCGAGTTCTGGCGCACCTGTACGTTTTTTATAATTATTTAGTAAAGGTGCAAAAATTTTGCTAACAAAAGCCATAAATAACACTAAACAGAGTTACAATTTAGGATACTTCTAACAGCCTGTARCAAAAAAACTTAAAAAAATAATTTTCCAACAGAGATTAATAGTCAAAGTGCAAAATTTAAACTCTTATAACTTCAAAATTTTTACAGATAGATTTTTTAAACATTTTTCTTGTTGTCTAAGGCATCGCCGGATGTGTCACGGAGGTGTGCGACTTTCCGGACACCTGTATGTTGAGCAAATTAAAAATAAATTAATGGTTAAGAAAATTAAAAAGTATTTGTAAATTAGTCGGACCAATCTGTTATAATTTCTTATTTACGTCCGACTAGTAGACATAAGTTAGAGGCGACATTTTAAACATTATCTATTTCTACTAAATTTTTTTTTTCTTTCTGTTACTATTTTTAACGCTCGAGATGGCGCTATCGAGCTTTAAAACTCCATCTCTCATTTATTTAAATTTACTCAAAAAATTATTTGATTTCCGTAATTTATCTCCTCCTGAGAGTGCATCCCCTGCGGTGGCAACTTCGCCTTCTCTCCCAGACTGATAACACCTGATAACGCACTTTTTAATTTCGAGTGTCGGTATAATAATTAAGTCGTTGTCGCGATAAACCCATCGGTTTATTTATAAYTCTCAATGTTGCCAACATAGCCTCGAATAATGAGCTTGACCGATAAGCACGGTCTCGCCGTTTGTATTATTACTTTATTTGGCTCGTGATATCATTGCTGGTCATATTTAATACGTGAGCAAAATAAGAATCTCGTCTTAATTATTCACAAAGTTTACGACGAAAAAATGAAGTTGCATTGTAAAAGCATTTCCACGTTCGCCAATTATAATTTACACTTCGTTTAGGATTTGCAAGTTTTTGCAGCCACAGGCGAAAATGTAAATTTGTTTTATTGTGAGGAGGTAAATTGGATCGCTAGTCACGAATGAGGCAAAGAAAGAGCCACTCTTGTGGCTTTTTTCCTAATTGTTTTATTAGATAAAAGTGAGGAATGGGAAAAATTGACGGCCGAGACAAGGCATTGTTCTCACATTAAGCGATAAGATTTTTTAAATTTTAAGGAAACTGTTATCTTAAACTCATTGTTTATGTACCTTTTAAAAATAATAGAAAGACGACATAATTCGTAATCTCTGTTTAAATATAAGCACCGGAATTTTCATTTTGGGTCCATTTTTCACCAGAGAGAAAAATACATAATTTTGAAATTGTCTTTCTCCACTAAGTATTTCGAAAATGACAAAAATTATTTTTTAGTTGTTCAAATAGCATTTGCAATCAGTTTTTCTCACAAAATATCGTAATGGTAGAAAAAAAAAATTCTGAGGCAAAGCAAAGAAAACATGATAACATCACTTCATTAATTGAAAATAATAAGCTTAAATCGAACTCTTATGTCATATAATAGCAGTATTAGGTATACTAAATATTGACGAAAAGAGCCAACTTTTATTTGATATTTTTGCCTTAGGGGATGAAAGAAAAACTCTTGAATTACTGAAATTGTATTTATTGAAACGTCAAAACAGAATTGGGGTTAATAAAAGAACGTAAATATGATTTTATGAATACTTGTCCACCATCTTGCTTATAAAAATGCACTTAAAGTTATTCATTTCGAATGAGAATTGCACTATTTCTAATAATTTATTGATTGTGTTTGATTAAAAGAAAGTAATTGTTAGATTTCTAGACATTAAAAACAATAAATCTAATCACAATTTCAACAAAGCGTTTGTATTTGTTTGAAGCACTCAAAATGACATACAACCAGATAATAAAAATTGTTTCCGTAGTCGGCGATAAAAAATCCCGGCTCATTGAATCTATGCGAACAAATCAAGCCGACTTTCTAGGATCCACAGAAATTAAAACCATTTTTATTGCTCTTAAAATGTTGGAAGCCTGGAATTGAAAATTTCTCCGACTTAACTCGCTGCTTATTAAAATTCGTCTCAGAGCAATTTTAATTTGACTGCGATAATTTACCTTGGGAGTAGTCTAGACTAGGTATTGCTCCATTCGTCTTAAAAGGCATCTCACTCGGTCGTTTAATTATTAGACGGTACAGGGCGGAGTAATGAAATTAGTCGTTGATTACACATCCGACTGTAACGTTAACTCACTACAAGATGTTGAGATGCATAATTTTCACCTAACGGACTCCTATAACTCGTACATACATCAACGCGATACGGTCCTGGTAATTTAACCACGAACGACGCAGTTTTACGAAATTATTATTAGAAGAGATTTTGTCGCTAAAAATATTAAACACTTTTTAAACAATTTTTGGGATTTTGTATAAAGTTGCATCAGATTTTGAACTCGAGACCTTGATTACAAAAAATCGTAGCTTAACACAAAGTCGATTATGTCATTAAGCTGATAACATCCGGAAAATATAAACAATTGCAGTTGCTAAGCCGATTTTCATCTCTTTTGTCGCTCCTTTAGAAACATCTATTTTGTTTCAAGTAAACACAAACATAACTTGTTATGTCCGGTTTTTAAAAAAATCAATCTTTGCAATATATTGATTGGATCAAGGGTGGCTCGTCACTTATAATTTATGCAATAATATCTCATTTAGGTTGTTTTAATCACGTTTCCATACAGACTAATCACAGTAGCCAGACAACGCCATCTTGAATATTAACGATAATCATAATGTAAACTTGATGTCAAATATAGTTTATTAAAACAAAAAGAACAAACTAAGGTCATCTATTGAAAAATGGATGTGTTATAACACTGTGTAAATAAAATCTACATGACAACAAGCTATCTGATGAGCTTCTTTATGAAAACAGCAAGTGGCAAGCTGTCATTAGAARCAATCACCAGCAACTTTGATTGAGTTTCTTCTTAGATGACTCCGGCGGGGCTTTCCCCTAGGCGGGAGTCGGGAYGCAAATATGTTTATTTACATACATGTGTAAACTAGAAATAGTTTGTATTGCGACGATTGAARCTAAAAATAAATGGGCGAGTGTTTAACCGGTTAACGGCGCTCAAATTTATTAWTCGAGTAGATTTAATTGTGTTATTTTGTTCTCGTTGCCAAAAAGGCTGAAGTAATAGTGATTAATCCATGATACGGACAAAGTTTGCAAATTTATTTAAATGTTTGTAATCCTGTTTACAACAAATAGTTGCAAAACAATTGTTTTGATATTGCATCACACAGCATTGCAATATTAATTTTTAATTTCATGTCACTAACGATAAAAATAGCTTTTTGTTTATTTAAACTTAAAATCTGTTGTTCTTTTAATGACATTATCAAGCCACGTGACCATGTCACAAGAGGACGCCTCACAATTTAAAATTAAGAGACTGCATGTCTAGGTTTAGTAAGTATATTAAAATTATTTTGTTTTTAAATTTTTCAAACCTAAATTTTAAAACTGCTTTGTTTTATTAAACTTGAACTTGAGAAAAGTATGAATATGAAGCAAATATAACAAGTTTAAAATTTAGTTTTTCTTAAAATAATCAGCAAATAGCTAGGAATTTTATTATAAATTTCCTTCAATTTAATAATAGATAGCAATCTTGTGTGGCCACAAGAGGTCAAAAGCCCTGAATCAGAAATATTCTTGCATCTCAAATCTTTAAATTCTTATTGACCTAAGATTGTTGGCGTTTGGGGCGCCAAATTGAAATTTTTATAACCTTGTACAATACTTTTTTTAAGTGGGTGATAAACCTCCAAAGGTCATTCGACTCTGACCTCTGATACTCGATTTGCTCAAAACAACGTCAAATTCTCGAAAAATCTAAAAATTAGATATAATACGCCAGGGGTTAGTACATAGTTGAGTCCGGCCCCGATTTTCACTACCTCATACCCGAAATAAAATTTGAAAAGGTACTCACAATTTCCTCGTTTTATTTCAATCACAAAACGTCACCAACTGTTTCTACTACGAGTAGTTATGACTAGAACATGTGCTGATAGCGACCGTGCGTCGGTCGCTCCTCCTTTTTGTAGAATAGGCGATGATAAACTGTTCACAAACAGGCTCATATCTTTATATTTGTGTGTTGTTGGCCGTGTTTTAACACGGTCAAGGTCACGATTTAGCGCCGCCGCCAAGACGATATTTGTTTTGAAGCAGTGGGAGGTCAATGGGCGCAATTTGATGGCTGCTGGGCTGAAGACGGACCTGGCCAGCCATGTGATGCCACAATTAGGCAAAGTGGGCACGGATGATTGATAAGGCAGTGGCGTAGAAGGTAGAAGAAAAATGGAACAAACCAAGGAATTGTTTACAGGGTACGCCAGAACTCGCGCCCCAGGGAAAAATGCCATATAAGATAAGATACCAGGAACATGGAAAAAAAAAAATTTATCTATAAAAATTGCGAAGTTGTGAGGGTTTAAAGTTTGCACTTTGACTCTATTCATTTCTTTTGGAAAAATAATTTTTCAAGTTTTTTTGCTACAGGCTTTTAAAAGAGAAAAATTGTAACACTGTTTAATGATATTTGTGGCTTTTATTGGCAAAATTTTTGTCCCTTTACTAAATRATTGTAAAAAAAACATATACAAGATCATCAGTATCATTAAATAGATATAAAAAAATATCAAATGTCAAAAAATAAATGTCAAAGTTTTATGGCAGATAGAATTTTTTAAACATTTTTTTCATGTTCTTGGTATCTTACCTTACTCGAAAATTTTCTCTGGGGCGCGAGTTCTGACGCACCCTGTATAGTCAAGAAAACCGAAGAATTATTACTTTTATTATTTTTCTATGACTAATAATTATTTTTATTAAATTTGCCACGGGATTTAATACTTGTTTAGCGTATAACAGTATTTACGTAAAATTATTCAGAAGGAAAACAAATCATCAATTTTTTTAACGAAAATATTAATGGCAAAATTGGTAGTAGTTTATTTCCATGGACACAAAATTTATTTGTTTTTTTGTCTATAGTTTTGTTTAAAAATTACGATTATGTTTTTATGTTGAAATTGTTAAGTTTTTTGATGGATCTGTTTGTACTATTATCCTATGATTGATTTAAACTAGGATTAAATAAATTTACGTAATCTTGRAATCTGAATATTTATTGTGCGTAATCTGTCTGACACAACAATGCAGACATGAATGTAAAACTCGAATCCCAGCAGGCCGGAATTTGAAAAATTCCAATTATTGCCCAATCTGTGTATCAGAAATTCAGAAACCACCAAGCACTGCGTGTCCAGTTTCGGCGTGGGTGTAACAAAGGCCCTTTGGCCGCAACCCTTCCTCCTGTTGCGTGCAAACTCTGTGATTTATTTGATTTTCCGTTCCATTACGGCCTTGACGTATCCGAAATAATGTCGTAAAACGGTTCCATCATCCACGATCGCGCCATAACTTGCTCTTCTCGTTTCTTAAATCAGTGCTGCCACCCTAATTGCGTTTCGATTAGGTCGAGTGTTGCGGTGTTTACTGTTGCGATTTATGAGCCGCCGGAAGGTTAATTTCATCTAGTGTCGAGTCGGGTTAACGAAAAGTGAGAAACGGCATCAGAAAGCTCCTGCAACGCGACACTTAAGCTCTGGCCGTTGCCTAGCCAAGGAGCTTTATAAATAATGCAATGGTTTCATAAATAATAGAGCTTGGGGGATTCTCCGCTTGTCGATTGCCGTATAAATCTTTGCATCGGCAACGAGATCATGGAGATAATGCACGGCCAGGTTTATTCTCTTTTTCAATTTATATTTATTTGGGAGCGCACAATTTGACCAAATAAAAATCTGCTTAGACCGAAACGGAAAACTTAGACTTTACGTAAATATTTAAGGGCGAAATTCATATCTCGCGAGCGATATTGAAAGCGCTATTGGGCCCGTTGTTTGCTTTCCAGCTTGCATCTCAACTGAATCAACATTAAACACTGGTTGGTTATTTAGCCATTTTTATTTATCCTCATTTGCACAAGCAACATGTCGGAGCTTCTTTGTGGCGGCTCTAAGACTCGTCAGTCGAAATGCTGCAACAAGTGGTGTCAGAGCGATTCCTAGCTCGCTGGAAGGCTTGACGATATTGATTTCTTTAGTTCTGATTGAACGAGACATCTCCAGTCCATTCCTAACCAAACAAGACATGAGGACACGGAAGACAAAAGTTGCCAACAAATAAAAGTGCATGATTGGAAAATCGAGGGTTTCTTTTAGACTAAATCATTAAAAAAATATCTGTCTTTTGTAGTAGGTAATTAATTACGAGTAAATTATTAAGATTAGTATTATACAGGGTGCGCCAGAACTCGCGCCCCAGAGAAAAATGCCATGTAAGGTAAGATACCAGAACATATAAAAATGTTAAAAAAATTTTATCTATAAAAAGTTATGAGAGTTTAAATTTTGGACATTGACTCCATTTATTTCTGTTGGAAAAAAACTATTCCAAGTTTTTTTGCTACAAGCTATTAGAAGAGGAAACAAGGAAGCTGTAGCCTAAATTGTATCTCTGTTTAATGTTATTTGTGGCTTTTATTGGCAAAATTTTTGTACCTTTACTAAATAATTATAAAAAAAAACATACACTGTGTCAATTTTAAAACTTGCAATCGGCAATTTCTCTCAACTGAAAAAGTTATTAATAATCACTCAAAACCGTTTTGGTGGTTCCTAGGGGGAATTAAAATGACATGATAAGTGACACAGCTCCACCCACCCTTGAATATAGTAAAAAAAAATGAAAATTTAACGTCTTCGTTTTTGAATAATTAGAAAAATAACTTTACCAAATAGGCTGTTGTATGACATTTTTGAAAAGCGCTTGTTATGGGCTTTCCAACGATGTATCGCAAGCAGGGTCGTACCATTTAAAATTTTCAACTTTAGGTGGCTGTGGTTTGAAGGGTGGGTGGAGGAGCGTCACTTACCATGCCATTTTGATTCCCCCTAAAAACTACCGAAACGGTTTTGAGTGATTCTCAATAACTTTTTTAGTTCCAGTGATATTGGCGATTGCAAGTTTTAAAATTGACACCCTGTATACAAGATCATCAGTATCATTAAATAGACATAAAAAATGTCAAATAAAATTTTTGAAACATTTTTTCCATGTTCTTGGTATCTCCTCTTACTTGAAATTTTTTTCTGAGCGCGAGTTCTGGCGCACCTTGCATTTATTGTAAAACAAGTAGCTAACAACTATAGTAGAATTTCAAGTCCAAACACGTAAAGATAATGTAGAAACTCGACAGATAATGTGATGTAAGGTAAGATACCAGGAACATGGAAAAAATGTTAAAAAAATTCTATCTAAAGAAATTTCGAAGTTGCACTTTGACTCTACTTACTTACTTCTGTTGGAAAACTAATTTTCCAAGTTTTTTTGCTACAAGCTATTAAAAGAGAAAAATTGTAACACTGTTTAATGTTATTTGTGGCATTTTTGGTAAAACTTTTGTAACTGTATTAGATAATTATAAAAAAACATATTCAAGATAATCAGTATCATTAAATAGACATAAAAAAATGTCAAATGTCAAATTTTTTCCATTTATATAGGGTGCGCCAGAACTCGCGCTTTAGAGAAAATTTTCAATTAAGATAAGATACCAGGAAAAAATGGTTAAAAATTCTATCTGTCAAAAAATTTGACATTTATGTTTTGACATTTGACATTTTTTTATGTCTATTTAATGATACTTGTACATGTTTTTTTACAATTATTTAGTAAAGGTCCGAAAATTTTGCCAATGAAAGCCACAAATAACATTGAACAGAGTTACAATTTAGGATACAGCCTTCTTGTTTCCTCTTTCAATAGCCTGTAGCAAAAAAAATTAGAAGAGTCAAAGTAGGTACAACATTTAAACCCTCATAACTTCGAAATGTTTATAGACAATGTTTTTTAACATATTTTCCATGATCCTGGTATCTTCTTACCTTATATTTTATTTTTCTCTAAGGCGCGAGTTCTGACGCACCCTCTATATGTATAAGAAAAGAGTATCAAAAGATCGAGAATAGTATAAGATTTCTTAATTAACCTAGTTTGCCATCAGTGTCAGTTTGGTAAAAACCCTAATGTATTTTTTTTTTGGTATTAACCAACATTTGGTGTTACATAGAAGGTAACAGAATTTTAATTTAATTTAGGAGATTTAGCAAATTTTCAAAATTGTAACAATTTTGTGTTGGTATTTAGTCACCGATTTTGTCGATGAAACTTGAAAATTCCTCAAAATCTGTGATTTAATGGGGTAAGATAAATAATAACCAGAAGAGAATGTGAAAACAATCGTCGAAAACAAAGCAAACAATTCTAAATGTCGAATCGGTGAAAGCGCCTTCCTGTCGAGCACCGCCTCACCAAACCGGAAAAAATAATTCGATTTGAAACAGCAATAACCGTTGTCCTTCGCAATAGAATCAAGCCGTCTCTCCGTGGCACCTCTTTGAGCTCACATCGCACTGATAGAAAATCAACCCTTGTTGGGATAAAAGGTGGAAAATCGCCGTTTCGTCACAATAAAAACCATCCGGGACAATATCGACGCGTATAACCCGACTTATGGAAAGCAATCTGCTTTTTCGGCCCGCAAAAACGTCTTTTAGCTCGGCCATGCGTCAAGTGATTTATTTATAGAGAGTGTTTTTTGGAATTATTAAATGCGACCAAAAGGCGGTTTAGCTGATCGATATTAAAAGTTTGGAGTCTTTCGACACCTGCGTCGGAGGTAATTGTGGCCTCAGTTTCCGGAACAAAGCACAAAAGAGACAAACTAAATAAGAAGCAAAAGATCAAAAACGGACGAATTGCAAATAAATGTTAAGAATTGGGGAGCAGTTATGAGGAATGATTTTATGGGACGGGAGATGATATTCCTTTTGTCATAATTTCAGGAACGATTGAAATGGCAACCAGAGTTGCGAGATGAGAAAGTATGAAGAGAATCGCTCGGATTGAAAAGAAAATTCGCTTCSACGAGTGCGGGACAAGAAACATTATTTCAAGCGCAAAAACCAACAAWTTTTTTTTTTATTAAAATTTTTATA